GCTTCGTTGGAATTTCTACTCTTTGACGTAGATCGACGCGAAAGAGTAACTGATCTTTCAGTGCGTCCCATTTAAGCCCAAAACAGAAGCTTCACCAGAATTGCAAATATAACTAGAAAGTGACGGTGAAGTATCTCATTAGACAAAAGCATCATCACCTGGCTATCGTTCGAGTTCCATTTCCATAGGGTGAACTGTCCCGCAGATAAGATTACGTCCACGTTTTAGCCAGCTCCACTGCTTCTAACGCTTTCGCAGATTGTTAGAAGTCGTCAACATAAAACGAGATTAATATCGCAGTTCGAGCACGAGTCGCTTGTTGTATGTCGGGAACCACAGCGGAATTATCACAAGCACATTGTTGTAGGGTTCGTACTGCATTGTAAGGACTGCATGCCATACCATATGTGATGGTCTTCAGGCGATACACCCGGATCTCTTCTTCAGGACACTCCCGCCATATTATTCGTTGCTAGTCGCGATGTTCAGATGCAACCAACACTTGCCTGAACATCTTCTCTATGTCCGCAGTTATCGCTACTCGCTAGCGACGAAAACGTAAAAGTATACACTCAGTGAATCCTGAAGTGTTGGACCTACCAGTTAAACATCGTTCAGTGAGTTTCCAGTGCTGGTAGGTGCCGAAGCGTTGAACACCACGCGTAACTTCGCTGTGACCGCATGATGAGGAATGTAGTAGCAATTAGTATGATCGTAAGGTGGTTGTACTAGTTCCATATGTCCGAGTGCTACATACTCCTCATAAATGAAATGTGGTTTTCCTTAAGAACTGGATCCAAACACCACCCATGCAAACCGGTTACGCTGGGCAAAAGGTTCGTCTGGTCCTCCACCGGCAGGGTGAAAATAATCAGCGATCGTTAGCAGATTCGGGCACACGTTGGTCAGCTCCAACCACTGGCCGTGAGAATAGAGGCCTGTCTCAATTTCCATCCTAATTCACCACTCTATAACAATTTTGAAGAGAAACTTGCATTAACGCCAGGTGATTTCCTGATTGGGTCGCCACTCCTAGCGGTCCCTGAACCAGACATCAAAAATATTCCTGGCAACCGGCTGAAACAATGGCAATGGATGCGTCCAATTCAACAAGGATTCTGGGAGCGAGGGGTGAGGAGTATCTAACCTGTCTGCAGAGACGGAACAAATGGTTTCAACGCACGAGGAATATAAGGGTGAACTATATCGTTTTAGTCAAACACGAGAACCAGCCTCCCACTCACTAATCCTGGGTCGAGTGACAATACTGCACCGCGGAGCTAATGGAGTGGTCCGCAATGTCACGTTGAGAACCGCTAGAGGATACATGAAACGAGCCATCCAGAAACTATGTCTGTTGATAGAGAAGGAGGATTTCGAGTCAACCGACTCGACCGGGCAGGATGTTTAGGATTATTTAAATTAGGTTAAGTTTATTTTCTAATAATGTCAAGTTTAATCTGGCATACTGTCTTATCTAAGTTTAATATTGGTCATCTCTCGTTTATTATTCATTCCCGTTACAATTATCTTTGTTTATGCATATTTAAAGTTACGGTATTTTAAATTCCGTTAAACTCCTATAAATGTCGGAGAACATGTTTGTACGAACTCTTCTCTGATTGTACTCATCTCTGATTGGGTGTCAAGCAAACCGTACAAATCCCAATAAGGCATTGAGAACTCTACCCGCTGGTAAATTAATTATTTAACAGATGGCAACTTGGGTTGAATCACGAATAAAGTGGGCTTGATGACAAGGATGAAATGATGCGAGACTCTTTGAATCGAGAGAGAGCTGTCAAAACCCACATTTTTATAACATTTGCCAATCATGCCACTGTCGAACGAAAATGGATTGGGTATTATAAAAAATTGGGGTATTTTGCATTTCGATATTATTTTTAGGTGCTCCGTCCCCAAGTAGGCCATATAACGCATATACATCCCTATATACGTGTATTTATATTATAAAATTTTTAAAAATCATATAACATAAAAAAATTGCATATAAATAAAAATTATAACAAAGAAACAAAACCCACTCAAGTGTGCTAGCATGCTGATCAGTTTCCTGGTCAGCCTGCTTGCCACCGTAGCGCTCCAAAATCTTGGTAGCCAGCCGACGGTCCGACTTCAGCTTTTTAGCTGTAGTCTGGAGTTTCCCCCCGGAGCCGTTAGCTTTCACTGAGGGCCCCGCGCCCCCATGTACTTAACAGAGGTTCCTCTGCTAGTGCTGGCGATTCCGCCGCGCACTTCTGCCCTGCCTAAGGTGTCCGTCGGCAGATTCCTGCCCACTCCCCCCACGTTACCGCCCCTAGCGATGGTAAGCCGGTCACCCCCGTTCTTCTCACCCTTCGGCGGAGACGGTTTCGTCCCCATCGGTGAGGCTGCCCCCCCAAGGGAACTGTCCACTTTTGAAGAGGTCGATTTCGACTCGCTTCCTCCCTCGTCCTTGTTTAAGTTTTGTTGTTGTTGTTTTGTATTCATTGTAATTGGGTCCCCACTCAGAGCCGCTATCCGTCTCCTGGAAAGGTAGTCGCCTTTAAATGGTCCCAAGGTTGTCTCGGTTACGAGGCCAAGGCGAGGGTTGACGCACGCCCTTATGAGGCAGTGCGTTCAGAGCCGACCAGCGCAAAGAAGGAGTCATCTCAACAAACACCTACCACACCAACTTAATGATGACAGGAGGGGAACGTACTCTGAGGCCTGCCATGGTTTTAACGGGACGGAGGCGGCCTTGGTATTAGCCCATCAGCCATTTCTGCAGGGTGTCACCCCTACATACTCAGGTGACAGAATACCACGACCACCAGCCCAGGGTTCAAACCGATCCATCTAATAGTCCAAGCTAAGTCCGTGTCGAGCAAAGGTCAAATCCGTAGGAGTTATAAAGGCCGTGAAGGCCGCAGGTCATTTAGCGTTACCCAGGATGCACCGCGTGGAGGCGAACCTGCTCTACATCCTAGGGCTTGTAGGGCAGGCTGCTAATTTTGTAGTTTCGAGAATGTTCGAGGGGCGAAGTTTTTTAAAGATCTACTAAATAAGGGTTGCCGGATTGTGCAGAAGACACAGTTTTGGTAAGATAGAACAGATATTCCCGCCTCAAACTTATAGTTTTTGAGATATTTGTATATAAAATTGTGAAATTTTTACAGTAATACAGGGTATTTCACAAAGTTTAACACTTTGCACATCGTTGTCAATTTATAGCCATAAAACCAGAGAACGTATATTATAGAGAAGGTTCAATTGCGGACCAGCGTGTGAATTGTCAAAACCTAACAAGATTTTATTAGTGAATTTCACCAAATCTGGCTCGGAAGGAGAAATTTTAACAGTAGCGAGTGAACAGAGCTGAGAATTCAATGAAAATTATGCTCAGAGACTTGCTTTGGTATTACAGCTGCATGTTAGCCTTTTGGCTTATATTTTTATACGTTTATCAATCATATTTATTGATATGAATTTCGAAATCATATTTATAGTCAATTTGGGAATTTAATAATATTATATAGTTTTTACATAATATGCATTTATATGTATATAATTTTTTATCTTTTATCATATCAATCTTATATAGTCATATGTACATTTATCTGAACATGCGCATTTGAATGTACGCATTCAGAAATTCAAATCATAATTTATCACTTATCAATACACTATATGCAGAGAATGTTAATAAATATACAAATATTCATATATTAACACTCTCTGCTATATGTGCGCACATTGATTTATATGTCAACATATATATGTATGTATGTATATATAACATTGCCAACAAATAATGCATACACATACCAACCTACATACATATGAATATCCGTAAACATGTAAATATGTCACCTGCAAAAACTACAAACATTGTTCTACAAAAACAACAATCGTCACAAGTCAATATGTCAGCCAAATAGCCAAAGCCAAAATATATAGTAAATCACACAACAACAACATTTTCATTCATGAACACAGGCGTACTTTCGACAAGCAACCTCGCTTCATTCATAAAAACAGATACCCTCACATCCCCCGAGCATGCTTTTGCAGGCAAGCGTCTTTTCAGCTAAAAATCATAAATTGAACAAATTTCTGATATTCCCTCTAGAAGGGAAAAGTGACAACCCCTCAAATATGAGTATTAAAATATTTTAGAATAAAAATGACAACATAGTGTATTTGTCGATTTACAATTCAAGAAACTTTTTAAAGAAAATATTCAATATTCCTCTGATTTATGTAAACAGTAAACCCCGGTTAAGTATCACTCCTCCAATCCCTCTTATCTGCCTGTGCCTTGCTCCATCTCACGTTTTTTTCTTAGTTTTTTAAAGAAAACGGTAATATTTTGTTAAATACATAGAAATTATTTTTTTGGTACCACTCGCTTAAGTACCACAATCGCTTATGTTCTACCAAGCACAAAAAATCTGCAACTTTGGTTGTGGCACTTAACCGGGATTGACTGTATTTGTCAAAAAATGTACGTAAGTGCGTATGTAAATATTTGAATTTTTTGTACACACATCTGCCCGTATATATGCACATGACTTGTTGACTTTGTTTCCATTTACGCATGCCACGTTGTATATGAAAAAGGGTTGATTTTGCAATTGCCATATGTAAGAGTGTGTATGGTTCTGATTTCCCATGAAACAATGAGTGTACATATTTACATATTTTTCATTTACATACATTATTCTCATTTAACATTCAAAATGCTCAATTCTGTAATTTTGCGCTCCGCAGGGGTAAAATTCTGGTGAAATCAGTTTATAATTTGTTTGTGGTGAAATGCACTAATGTTGGCGAGTAACCCTCCGTGAAGAGGAACATTTTGACAATCGGCACACCATAAACCTTCTCTATGATATACGTTCTCAGATAAAACTTGGACTTTTATATAACAATCCTTCGATAGAATTCAAGAGTTAATTAGAAGGTTAACGATTTATCGAGAAAACCATTGCAGTACTAAGCCTAAAAATAGCGATAATGTTATCGATTATTCGATACGAAAAACGATAACTTTAAGGATTTTTACCTATAGTGCGTGAAGTTTTTGGTAAAATAAAAATAGTTATTTTGATTTTTCTGAAACATGTGCAGCATAGAAGAAGATGATGTTCTTGATGATGGCATGAGCAGCCTCATGACACCACAAGAACAAATATCACACTCCTCACAAAAAGGAATTTGTCATAAATGTGGTCAAGACGGCGAATTGTATAAGTTAAATTTTCGCGAAGCGGAGTGTAGGTGTTGTTTTCTCCTTTTTGTGAATCATAAATTCCGATCAACAGTTGGATCTTCTAAAGCTCTTCCAAGAAATGCTGAGATTCTTCTGGTGTTTGATGGCAGTTCAGAGTCTATAGTCTTATTGGATATGTTACAAAAGGCACAATCGGAATCAAATTTTAAGCGACTGCATTGTGACTTCAAAGTCTTATTTATTGATGATTACGAGGTCTACAAAAGCATTTGTGATATAAATGATTATAAATGTTATATACAGCAGGTGAAAGATTTTTTATTAAGCTACCATAATATAAAATGTTATGTTACTAATTTAAGTTCTGACATAAATCAAGAGCCATTTGATATTAATGACATGGATATATATTTGAACAGAATAATGGAAATAGAAATAGTATTTGCCAATGACATCAATAATATTCAAACGTCAACAAGCCGCAACGAATTTATAAAACTTCGTCGCAAGAACTTAGTAGCATCTATGGCTACGTTCTTAAGATGCAAATATGCTTTTATACCTACAATAAATATAAGTATAGCTACCGATCTGCTTTCAGCCATTGTACTTGGACAGGGAAATAACGTCGCTTATGATGTTGCATTCAAAGATGATCGTTTGGTTAATGGTATCAAAATCATGAGACCAATTAAGGATCTAAGTGAAACAGAGGTCTTACTCTATATGCGTGCACGAAATATAAAATTTTTTGATAGACGTGATCATGTTACATATGCGTCTAGCAGTTTACAACGAATAACTGAGTCATTTATCCGCAATCTACAAAAAAACTATACCTCTACTGTTTCAACTATAATTCGTACCGGAAATAAAATTACCTCAAATAATCACATTTTTAAAGAAGACGATTCTGAATATAAATGCTGTATATGTAATTCTTCAATAATCAACTCTAAAACTCTTTCGGCTGTTAGGTACTCTCGATATGTTTCTGAAAGAACGTCAAGCATTTCTGATTTAGACACAAGCTACACAAAATTCTTGAACATAACCCACAAAAAAAACGAAAATTTATGTCACAGTTGTGAAAATATACGACGGGATAGCGATATTAATTTAATAAAACGATATTTATAAAATATAGATGTACGTGACTCAATAAATATAAACCAGATCACTTAACAAAATTGTATTTCTGTGGTGTTATTAAATATTCACATCTAAAAATAAATAAACCTTGTTACGTCCTTCTCGTTGATTTTGTCTAGTGGATGAGTGTGAGCGCAATTGGTTCTTTGTGTAATTCATTTTATAAATACAAACAAAATTTGTAGAAGAAACCAATCTATGTTCAATTAATATTAGTATGAGCCCTTGGGAGTTGAAAAAGTGTTTCAAGCATAATAAGGAATGTTTTAACGCGGTCATAAAAATATGTATGGACAAAAATGGCTTCTACAGTTACTACGCAGGAATCTCCAACTCCCAGTAGAGTAGACGGGGAATACATTAGAATACTGCTCTAGACTTTCGGGAATAAAATCGGTATCATTGGATAGAGAGATCCTCCAGATCTAGAATATATACAGATATTGCCACGTGAAACTTATACTTTTCTAGATATTTTCGTTTAAAGTTGAAAGTTTCGACTATTTAAAGTACGTATTTTTTTATTTTAAAATGAAATTTAAGCTTGTATTTTTCAATTTTACATCCACTAACACACAATATTTAAATCATTCTTGAAATCTATTAATTTTGACAATAACAAAAGGTTTGCAAAATGTCAAATAACCAGTATTACCTTATCGACATCTTTTGTAAATGAACTGAAACAAAAGAAAACAGATTATTTGGATTCCAATTCCCACAACAGCCGGTTCTGCGGTACCGGAATTGACCCGAATTTTATCCGGCCAATGGCTGTTATTTCGGCGATCTAACCCTGTTTGGATTGGTGAGTTTTAGATTAAGTTTGTCGTCATTAGAGCAACGCCTAGCAGCAGGGTTGCTCCGTATCCTCCTGACCCGTGCTGGCATCGAGTCCAACCCGGGCCTCGAGGAATTTTACTGCTGCGTTTGCGCTAAAAGGCTTCATCCAAACTCCACCTCGGTTAGGTGCAATACATGCAATGGATGGAGCCATCTTAAGACCTGTTCAGGCCTTAAGACACATAGGGAGCGGACCACAAGTTACGTGGCCCCATGCTGTTAACGCGATAATGCGACATCTCACTCAACGGCTGTGCAACCTACACCATGTTCCCGCACTGCGCTGCCACTCCAGTCGAGTGGCCAAGATAGGACCTCCACGGCCCTAAGGAGCTCACACAGACAGCATGACTTCCAGTCTGACCAACGTAAGTTGCGTAATTTAGGACCGGCCGGCCGATTGCCTTGTATGTTGCCAACAACGTTTCTTTGTCCTTTCCCCAAGAGCTGCCGGCAAGCGACTTGAGGATTTTGTTGCGGCTCTGTACTTTGGCAGTTATCGCGGTCGTGTGAGGAGTGAAAGAGCACAGACTGTCCAAGGTGACGCCTAAAATTTTAGGGTTATTTACTGTCGGAATTTTTGTGCCATCGACTGAAATGTTCAGGTCCAGTCTGTACTCCGTCGTCCAATTTGTGGATTTAGTGGGAGAGAGTGTTAGGTTCCTTGCAGAGAAGAAGCGAGAAAGATGGGAGAGGTAGCTGGAAGTCATGCTGTCTGTGTGAGCTCCTTAGGGTCGTGGAAGTCCTATCTTGGCCACTCGACTGGAGTGGCAGCGCAGTGCGCGAACATAGTGCAGGTTGCACACTCGTTGAGGCAGATGTCGCATTATTGCGTTGACAGCATGGGGCCACGTAACTTGTGGTCCAGTCCCTGTGTGTCTTAAGGTCTGAACAGGTCTTAAGATGGCTCCATCCATTGCATGTATTGCACCTAACCGAGGAGGTGCACCGAACTTGTGGTATGAACAATCTGAAAGAAGGAGAAACATAAACGAAGAAGCTTAACTTTACCCTATCTTTCTCGAACGCTTACCGGCTTGAATGTTTCACAATCGAATATGTAGTGTCCACCATGGCACAGTGGACATAGTATTTCTCTAATAATGTTGGCGGCTTGAAGGAGAACGCGGCGCTTTGGTTCGTTTGAATGAGTCCACCCTATCTTGTAGTGTACATAATAAATCGGCCTGTCGAGTTTCTTGCTCTTGTGCAGCTTTCCTACAAGCTCCTCCACCAACGTTGAGTTACACAAGTTACTATTTGTAGTAACACAGTCAGGTTTTTTACCTAAAGGAGAACGGGATTATTTTGTCGGTGGCAGATTCTGATATACATATGGCATCTCCCGTACTTGGCGCAGCTGACATTTAATGAGTAATTTTTGGACGGCCGAATCGAAATCCCAAAGTGTCTATAATGGCAGGAACATTATCCAGATGGATTATTAGTGAGTGCACTGTCTCTCTAGCCTCACCCTTTAAGCATCTCTGTAGACGTTGGTTCTTTTCGAAATTCGTGTAGTTGTATGGTGCAGTTGACGGTGCGAAAGCGGTAGCGAACATTGGCCAGTCTTCGTGGCGTCCATCGAAATATGGCAGATCTTGAACTTTTCTCGACAGTGTGAGCAAATATGAACTGTTTGGTATAATGTTAACTGTTGGCTGCGACTGTAATGAAGTTGTAGTACCTATCGAAGAGGCAGTGGCGATCAAAATCGGCTGTGTAGTACGGCTATGGCGTTGGCGGTGAATAGCGGGTTGGCGTCCCGTTTGGATGTAGAACGTTAGCATGTTTGGCCAAGAAGGTGGCACGTGAATAATAAATGATTCTACAACAAGCTTTATGACGTAAATTGTATACTCCGCGGGCACGGAAGTTACAGTTACGCAAGAATTGGCTGTATGCATTTAATTTGGCGACAATATGAATGAACGTAATAGTCTTGCGAAATAAAGATGTCTCAATTTCGGATGGCTAGCGAATTTAATTGTGTTCACATGTGGACACATATTTCGTACACTTACATGCACAGTAACATCAACAACTACAATTTATATCTATAAAGAAAGGGTTATTACTTACCGCAGTGTCTCAGCCAGTCTCTTCGACGTTCGGAACAACAATATGGATACCGAAACAAAGGTCAAAGACAAAACGGGCACTGCGATAATTCACAATAGTTATTGTAGCTTAACGCCATTATTCACAATGATATTATATATTTAAACTGATAAACTATTAATTACAAATTCGTAACAAATAATGCTGTTTTGTTACATCCACAAAGATAATAAAACAATAATATTGAGCTAAGCCTTCCCCTATCGCACATTCCACTACAAGCGCCAAACACCACTCTAATTGCAACACTGACACACTCCAGCACACCACAACAATTCAATCCACTCTCGAGAACACCACACACCAATACATTCATATCCACACGAACCACCGAGGGATACCAACATACACCACATACGATGACATCATCCTACTACAAACGTATGAACAAATATTATATGTATGTATGTTATGTATGTGGTTCACAAAATTATTATCATAATTTTTTTGGTTTAAATCCGATATTTACCGGATTGTTTATGTAATTGCATATTTGAAGATCAGCTTTTAGAATTTGTTTTTGTTTTAATTTTAATAGTAAACTAAGTAGGGTATTAAGCGATAGGCAGATTTTCTGCCTTATGTATTTTCAAATGTCCGTATACATGTATGTTCGCAGTGCGGAGGGATCGAGAAATTGAAAATGAGCCAGTATTTTCCCGCCTGCAATTATGTATTAATTTATAATATTGTATCCTTCCCACGACAGTCGGGTCTACGTAACTGGAACGGACCCGGATTTTATCCGGCCAAGGACTGTCAACTCGGCAGAATTCTGCCTCTACAACAACAACAACACCATCCTACTCTCACCACACTCTCTGCTCAATCAACAAAAATGATCGACAACTTGATTCGGGCCTCTTTTGATCGACCGCTGTCATCGTAAACCTTCGAGTTGGATATTTTTTCGAGTCTTTTTCTGCGCAACACCGTTCGACCCCGAATAGCTGTATTGTTCTTCAAATTGCTTTTTTTTCGAGCACAATTTCAATAATGTACATTGTGTAAAACGATTTTCAAACGATTAAACATTGTAAATTTTATCCGCATATTTTCTTCGCTTTTATTCGGCAGCAAGTGCTAAAGGTTACAAGAAGCGAAATTGGTGAGTGCCTTTGTGCGAATTAACAACAAATTTGCTATGGTCCTTCGAACCCTAGAGGAAAGCAGTATGGCTTGTTTAAGAGAAAACCTATAAAAAAAAGGAGTACAGTAAAACTGTGGGTGCGAAATTAAAAGTCAATTGAACTGAGCGAAAACAAACAAAGGAAAAAATAGTGGCGATACAGTGCAGAAGTACAGTGAAATAAATACATTATGGAATAAAAAATCAGTTAAAAAACAAACAAAAAAAACGAGAAAAAGTGCAGATAGCTACAAAACAACAAAATTACAATAACGTAACAGTGTATTGTAGTTACTTATATAACATAACATATTGTGACAAATACGGACGATAGAACAAAATCGAATGGACGATAAATTGACAGAAGCAAATAGTCCCGAACTTTTGTTAAAGATCTACTATATAAGGGCTGCCGGATTGTGCAGCAAACACAGTCCTAATTAGAGTGTTGTCGTGTAAAGAACAATTGACCTATAAGCAATAAATTGTTAACACGAATAAAGAGTAATGAGCGTTAAGTTGTTTGAATTAGGAATAAAGATAAGTGTATAGCCATTAAATTCGGACTATTATTTAACAACCCAGTGAGCGAACTCAAGAGTGAGTTATAATATATAATAACTTTCAAAGTGTTAAATAAAGCAAAACCAACAAAGTGCTGTTAAAAAGGAAGAATTATACATACATAGACAATAAGTGCAGGAAATCAGAGTGAGTTGTATCGATAACTCTTATTGCTTTTACTTATACTCGTATGTAAATACGTATGTCGAATTGCGTTTTTTTCCTTTGAAAAACTGAAATAATATTTAAATAGAACGGTCACCAAACTATTTTAAATTACGGGAAAAACCAAAAACAGTTTGCTATATGATATATATATACATATAACTCCACATATATGTATATAGATATATATATTGCAATATATATATACATATACATACATACGTATATCGAAAAAATATATAACATAAATTGATTGCCATATATGCTTACATTTGCGTATTCACAACACACTTTACTCTTCCAACAACATACCAAAATATTTCAAGTTTTTACTAGCATACTTTTTCGGCAATACCCTTATGCTTAACAAAGCAATAAGCAGGATTGCGTCAAACCAAGCTAAGGCAAATTGAGAATTTAACAGAAAAAGAGAGCAAAAAACAAAACAAAAAAAAATTAACCAGAAATTTACATACATACGTATAACAAATGCATATTAATTTAAAACAAACACATACATACGTACATATCCCATATACCATATATTCATAAATATACATTTTTACAATCTCACAACAACAATATATATGTATATATAATATATATATATTTATGTATTTGAAAATGTATTTTACATAATTGCCAAGAGCAATATACACATAAATAAAATTTTATATATTTCAATATATACAATATCATAAATTAATGCATAATTGCATGCGGGAAAATATTGGCAAATTTTCAACTTCTCGATCCCTCCGCACTGCGAACATACATGTATACGGACATTTGAAAATACATAAGGCAGAAAATCTGCCTATCGCTTAATACCCTACATAGGGTACTATTAAAATCAAAACAAAAGCAAAATTCCAAAAGGTTATCGTCAAATATGCAATTACATAAACAGTCCGGTAAATATCGGATTTAAACTTAAATTATGATAATAATTTTGTGAACCACATACATAACATACATCCATATTGGTTCATATACAAGATACGTTTGTACATTTCATATTCAAAGTCCATATTGGCATACATCCCGCAATACCTCTTTTTCTTTGGCAAACAAGAACAAGTAGGATATACATTTAAAGTCCACATTGGCATATATTTCGAAATACACCTTGCAAAAACAAGCAGGATTGCGTACAAACATTAAAGCACAAACAATTCATGCGTAAATAGACACAGAGTGCACTGATCTCTTCAACGAGCTCTCAACTGCACAAGTACATAAATACATACCTACAAGTCCAAGCATTAGAGTGTACCTATATACCCCTACATAAGGACATACAAAATATTAATAAAATAAACAAAAAAGAGGTAAAGATATTTTATACACCAAATTTATTTCTGAGAGTGAGAGCCTAATACTATACTGCACTCGATTTTCATCTTCACCGATTCATGACAATTTTGATATGACGTAATCGTAGAATGTGACGACTCAGATCTACCGAAATCCAATCCTCGGCTTACGCCAAATACAAAAACTGTTTGGACCAGTTTGAAGAAACGAAAACAATGATTTCTGATCAATTAAAATTTATTAAAGCAATTGCATCTGAGAGTAGAGCTGCCAAAAATTTAATGCAAAGAGGCAAATTCATTTTCATGGTGGTTATGAACAATGGTTGTCCTTATGGGACATTTTTACAACCATTTACATAAACCAACCAAAATTATCAAATTCACAAAACGTGTATCACCTAAAATACAAAACTAAAGGCCAAGCAGACGTAATAGTCAAACAGTACGCAATCAATGACGACAATTTCAATTTGGCTTGGGGAGCTCTAAAAGCAAGATATGAAATTGAAAAAATATTGGTTGATAAGCAAGTAACGATACTAATGAACTTGCCTAAAATTCAAAAGGAAACAAGTGAAGAATTAATCAAACTTCAATATACGGTTTCAAACTGTTTGTCGTTTTTATCGACACAAAACATTCCCACAGACAGTTGGGATCCTATACTGGTAAACATATGCACCGCAGCGTTACAGGAAAAATCGTTATTGCTATGGAACCAATCGCTCTCATCAAGAAGAAAATGCCCCCCCACGTGGCAACAATCAAAGATTTCCTAACTGACCAGTACGAAATCGCAGAAAGGGTAGGCAAAAAGATAAATAAACCAATAGGTATTCAACAAGACCTCAATAGAAACTTCCACAGACCCCAAGCTAGTAGCAAGAACAATTTAAATAGAAGCTTCTTCAAAAAACAAACGTTCGCATCCGAACAATACAAACAAACGTCATGCTAACTATATACAGGAGGGCTCAAATCTTGCGAGAAATTTTAAAAATTGTATATTTCAAATCGTAACAATTTTGTAAGAACAAACAGACTTTGTACAAACTGCCTGTCACATGAGCATACACTTAAAGAGTGTGAAATCAAATTTAATTGCGCTTATTGTCATAAACAACATCATTTAATGCTTCATATACATAATTTTTCCCCCCAAACAGCGTAAATATGAAAAGAGCCACAGGTTTAGTTGCAAAAGTAAATCTCGAAATGCCAAATCCCGAAAATGGGCAACAAGCACCATGCTGCTCAAAGGCATTAAAAATTGAAACGCTACAAAGCGAAAACCAAAGTAGGGTACTACTGTCAACAGCATTCGTCTAGGGCACAAAATATGCTACAACTGCCAACAGACCTAGCCAATTTTGAAGTCATGGGAACAGGTTAAAGAGTAGTTCAAAACTCAAATAAAATCTGCCCCATTACCCTAATTTCCACTAAAGCGGATAAGCGCATGCAGAAGCTGTAGTCTTACCGCAACTCACAAATATGCATCCAAGCTATCATATAAATAGCAATTATAGATCTTCTATTAAGTAGCGATCTCATACCACAGATAATACTCGAAGGGTCCCAAGTGGCTTATTACGGAACCAGTTACCACCATGACAACTCAAGTTGAGGAAATCTCAAACGAATACCTCAATTCACAATTAAAGAAATTTTGGGAGTTAGAAATATATATAAAATATACTAAAAAATATATCAAAAGGAAATTTGTTGGAACCTAATTTACTTAAATTCGAAAAGGACAGTATAACAAAAACCCTGGGGATCCAATGGAATGCGATATATGACCAGTTTTCATACACTACAGAATCAATATCCGCATTACCCGCCGAAACAAAGCGCCAAATTTGATCCTCTGTGGCAAAACTATAGACCCTGCAAGACGCCTTTTGCCAATTATGATACATGTGAAAATCCTGATAGAAGAATTATG